TAGAAAATCGTGGAGAAGAAGTTGGGACCCGCGCACGAGCAATCGCAGCTGACAACGGGTCGCCAAGTAATCCAAGTAATCCAAGTAATATAAAGGAATCCAGAGATACATCGCTAATACATACCTCCCGTATTCGTCCAATCTTGCCCACACTCTGCTGAACCATATACTGCACTGATCGCTGAGCATACTGCTGGATCACAGAGTCTATCTGTCCTTGAAGAGTCAGCACTTTCGTCATTACGCACATGGCTGACATTCGAACCTTAAAGGTCGAAAGACAACTCGAACAACGAATTAGTGCGAATGAGCACACCAAGCACTATTCGTAACACCCTTTTATTTGTGCAGAGTTCACTAATCGTGACATGTGATACTGTGATTATTACTCAACTACATGTAATTAAGTAAATGCTGTATTGCAAAGGTATTATGGAAGAAAGACAAATTTGTTCTTGGCGAGCTTAAATTTTGAAAAATCGAAGAACCCAGGTAACAGCCACTTACAAAGCGTCCAATGTCACCGTGGCAATCAGTGGTGTAGTCTTCAACGGCACAAAATAAGGCATCGAATACGGGAGGAATCCATTCTTTACAAGGCCGACGAGAAAATATCTCCCCAAGAGCGTCTACGGCACTATGACGAGCAAGAGCCCACTTGTTGTCGAGACTGGTTCGCCTTAACATACCATTAATGTTCACAACTCAATGAAACTCATTTTTGCAGAAGTCAAAGTTTGCATGCCTAAAACGACGTCAATTCTAAGGTCTCAGGAAAGTGGTGGATAAAAAAGTTAGTTGCACCTAACAAAATACGAAAATCGATCTTTGAAGAATCGCGACAGCTAAATATACTTCCATTTCAATCATTTTCGGTAGATCTTCACAAGACAGGATGCATGAAAAGGTAGAATAACTTTTTTAATCGCAACTAAATGGGTATCATCACTACCATGGGGCACTTTTCGGTTTCGGTTTCAATGAAAATAGACTGGTGAATTCTGTCATTTCAAAAGTAGGCAGTTCAAGTGAATTCAGCAATTTTATGCCAATCTGCCGCCTGCAGCCTTCGAAAATAAGTAAAAAGGAACGAATAATCAAAGCAGTCCATTTAGGTGACTCACTTGACAATCACAGTGCAGAGGGCATCGAGTAAGAGGGAGTTGATGAAACGACCAGGGATATATGCTACCACTAAGCACAAACCTATACGCTCGTTTTCCCTTCTTGCGGCTGCGATCTAAACAAGAAATTGCAGAAAAGATTGGTTAAACGGGAAACAACAGAGATTTATATCAGAACCCTCGAAGGGATGCTTTCTATTCTTCCATCAGTGCTCAGTGAAACATGTTCCGAAAAGTATGCCGGAAAGAATTCTGCAGCAGCAGCAGCGGCAGCAGATCTGACAGTCGCCGTGTCGTCGCATGCAAACATCAATAAGCGATCTTGCCATTTATCGATCTAAATAGCTTTCTTTATTAAACCACGATGAAATGGGAGGGGTTTGCATTGATTGAAATTGCACCTACATTTTCAGCATCGAGCTTTAACGGTACTGATGACAAGCAGCGTATAAAAGTTGCGAGGGCAAGACGAGTCAGTTCTCCTCCAGATATTTTCAGCTTTTCACTTTCTGTTCGAAGTTCCCATGGCAATTCAATAGCATGAGATAAAATCTAAAATTTCCTGCTTTCTAAACCCACTACAACAAAATAAAAGATGCTCTTACATCATTGCTACATGGAAATCCAGCGAGAAGAAGACCTCGAATACAATGAGAAAGTGCAAGAAGATATCCATGACGATGAACCTAAAGGCACTTCTCCGCAATAGGGAAAATTAATATCGATATATCAACTACGATAGAAAATATTACAGGGTTTGGCAAACCGCAACCGTTGAGCAGACTGCCAAGTTTGTTGGAAACATATTCAGAATGGAGAGGGGCAAGAAGACCGAGAGCCATGGCAGCTTGCTCACGAATCAATTCATCCCAATGAGTTACCTGAAGGTATCGCTCAAATCAATGCCCGTCGCATATCAAAGACGAAACTCCCTCACCTTGTTATCCACCAAATGATCAACTATGGCATCAGCGTATTTTGGGTAACGAACAACTTCTAAGCAGGCCTTTGTATAACAACGCCAACGATTTCCCACAGTGTAGTAATCCACTTAAGTAGATCAGAACGGGTTAATAAGACAAATGAAAAAGAATCTCATAGAAAGAAGGAAAGCTTACCTGTGGTCAGCAGGGCGATTCCGTCAGGGAAGTTGGCTTGACGACCTACATTCTCCTGGAATGCTGCTGATGCAGCTCTACGTAAGTTTACTTCTCGATCGAATAGTGCGACGCACATCTATAAGGCTTGTTTTGATTCACCACTTTCAAAAGTGAAGGATTTTCTGACATATAAAATTTCGTATTTTCTTATATAGAAATTCTTTACCAGACTCGTCGCAACGGAGTCGACAAACGTCTTCAACTCGTCCGGCTCGTACGCGCGAGCAAAGGCCCACAAAACATAGCAGGCGGCATCACGAACGTTGCTACCGAATGCATGCCTTCCCATAGGTTCTTCGTAGAACAAAGCTTGTTTCACTATTGGAAATGCCTAAATGTCCAATGCAGACAGTTTTCACACAATAGACTAATAACCTTAAGTAGCAACACAGCGATTGCATAGGAGGAACAAAAAGGTTTCAAGGAAATTCAAGCGAACCCTATCAAGCGCTTCCGGAAGAAGAAATCCTCGACGCGAGAGTTCGGCCAAGGCTAAGCAACCCCCGTGCCATGAGCAGTGACCAGCCAATCGATGGAAATTAGAGGAAAGAATGGAGTCCACCACTGCGAAGGAAGAAAATTAACTGCAACCATGCTCTGGTACAAAAAGGGGCAAACCTTGAACGGCGAATTCTTTAGGGAGCCGAGCTGTGATCCGTCCAACTCCTTTTGCAGCAGACCACCTCACCGTTGTGTGATCATCCGAGAGAGCGCACAGCACACAACCAATTGCCCATTCCACCTTTAACAAAGTAGCACGAACAATTCATGTCACTGAGGTGACGTTTAAATAAATTAAATGAATATCGCCAATCCCAATTTTTGACTGTAACATGACAGACACTCTCTAGACAGAAATTGTGTGGGCAGCCAAAACCTAATGAGGCGTCTTCAACCTAAAATTTGACCAACTATCACAGCCCTCTTAAGGGGCCTACGTTTCCGAAAACATTTTTAGATACTCCTACTATCACCTATTTCATTGACCCTGAGTATACCTCAGCTCTTTTCTTCTCGTATCCGATTCGGTTCCATTAATGATCTTCTACTGCCCCTCTCCAAATAAAAAAAATGTTGAAGATTGAACAGCGAACTCTTCCACCAGCACAACACACCCACAACAACCCCTGACCTTATCGATTAAACCAACAATAACACAATGAAAAAGTGTATGTTACACACCACTTCATCCGGGTGCTCGTCCTCGTCCTCCTCCATGCAAATGTCGTTTGCACCCGAGTGGTTGTTATTCAAATAATCATTTGCCGAAACAAGGTCGCCATTTGCTTTTGGAGCCATCAAATTCTCCTCCAGACGTCTCCTTCCACGCCTTAACAAATAAAACATAGGCAGTCAGCTTAATAAGGCAATCCCCTACTAGTGAGATAGTCCTTCATAGCAATAACCTTCAAACAATTGGACACTCGAAGAAGAAAAAAAAACTTTCGATAAAGGAATAATCACCTGTATCTCCAAGCAGCGAGTCTCGGCTTCAAGACCACTAAGGCTAGTCTTTGTACCAGTTTGATAAACACCTTTCTGGTCAAGGAATCCTTTTCAGATTTCTTCAACGGAAAGTGAACAGCGACAGCTTCTCGTATAGAGGATACATGCGGTAAAAGATGTTTTCTATCCACCTGAGTGTATAACACCATCATCATTATCATTTACAAAAGCGAAGCGAACCAAAAAAGCCATTGAAATCAACTTACGTGTTTGAGGATAGCACATATGAGTACAGCATGGCACAATAAATTTTCCGAGTTATGTATCAAATGGCCTGCACATTCTGAGACGATATTAGGAATAAGTGGAATACAATCATGCCGCGCAAGACACTGTGCAATGACTAGAATAGCAGCCGGCTGAAAAGAAGAGCTTAAAATTTACAATGAAAAGAAAAACATGTGAAACTATTGACTCCTTATTATAAAAGATGAAAACTGGATACAATGAAGAACAGAAATTATAAGGGCATAGGATGTTACCCCATACACGAATTACATTCACGCTCTCATGAACATCCCGCGCTATGTCATTGCTCCGATACTGACAAAAAAAAAACACACGAATCATCATCTAACTCACGTGAACAGTAGACCATGGATATTTTAAATATGAGCTGGCTACACTGAGAATTCGACTAGTTGTTGATCCAGGTTGATCTAGTGGATCGAATCTGGAAAAAATGGAAATGGGTCAAAACAAATTGAATCTGGAAAATCTGAAGTAGTCACCTTCTAAAATCAAAAGGATTCTTACAAACTATCCATAACCACAGAAGAAGCATGTGACGCTCATATAAATCAGTGCCAATATTGCCTGTGTACTGCTCCAGTACAGTTAATAACTTATCGAGGAAAGAAACCTGGAAGGAAATTTTCGGTAGATGCGTTGCACTCACTACGTACTAAAGAACAATCTGTTAAGTAAAAAGGATAAAGAGGTATTTGAGCAACCTACATGGTGTGGCAAAAGTCTGACGATCACTTTGTATCCGCGAACTTTCGTCAGGTGAGCTATATAACGCAGAGCGGTGACTGACAACTGATTCAAGCGCTTATCGGGACTGCCTAAGATGGATACTAATCATTCAGCTGCCCATTTTGGTCAGTAGCTATATCTCTTTACTCATCTACTGTCACCCCATGGTATGGAAATTCAACAGATTGCATGGATATCAAACTAAACTTCTCCTGAACCGAATTTCCTAATACTAGCATGAGCGTATCTTAGACAGCAGATCTGACCATGAGTATCAAAAAAANTGTACGGTTAGACTTTAATCCATCTACTGAGACCCCTTCATTGAGCTATGGCGGTTGTTTATAAAAATGTTTATCTAAAAGTTATTACTCGTACGTAATGTATTCTACCCAANAAAAAAAAAAAAAAACGCCAAAACCAGTCAAAAGAGAGGTCCCCAAAAAATTTATTAGCGAGCTAGAAAATGTTCGTGCTCTGCGTTAAAACTAGCTTTCCACTACTACTTGAAAAATAGAAAATCATCGAAGGCAGTGAAGAATAAAACTACGAACTTTTAGAAATTGTGTGCTCGCAGCTAAGTAGTCAACTTAAGTATTGCTTTGAACTGAATCTCGTTGCTCTGGGGAGTCAAAACGGTCGCAGTTATCTACCAAAATAAAGCATTAACCCAGAAAATCAGAAGCACGCAATGATAAGGTAATTTTAGGCGAACTTGAGTTGGCAAGTGTTAAGAAGACAATTGTTTTCATGATACTCTGGAACATACTTAACTCATTTAAACTATGTGCATGCTACTCATATATTCCAGAGATGTTTGATCGGTGAAAGAGAAAAGCTTAAAAAATAGCTAAAAAGCCAAAGGCTCCAAACAAGACAAAGTCGTTGAACATTAAAACAAATATCATTCTCATAACCATAAAACGACAGCATCACAGCAACGGGAAATAAAATTCCACGGGTCATTTGGTTCAACATCAAAAGATTCCTGCGTAACAGGGAAAGGGTTTTGCCTTACATGTACAGACCTTACATGTACTTGTGTCTGCACCGCACACTGACCTATCCGTTTGACCACTGTGACCCCACAGTGGTCAAACGGCACTTCTTCAGTCTGCCCGTAGTATGGTTAACTTCACAGAATCCTTTAATCACTCCTAACAGATTAACATGTATAATGTGACGGGCCAGTTAGTTGATAACTGGTCCTGAGCTTTAAAAGGGCACGATCAAGGCGAAATTAGTTGGTTTAACTCTTTTTGGTATTTCTGAACAAATTGATACAGAAATTCATCAAAAACTAATAAATTGAAAGAAATGAATCCACTGAAAAACTGGTTATTGATGAAACAACCTGATGAAGGAAGAGTGATATACGATTCCAATTTCTTCAAAAGTGAAGGAATAACACAGTCAAGGAGGTTAGGTTGTTCTTGGTAAATATCCAGTAAACGAGCATAGCGATCCAAATCATTCTGAATTATACGGCATGCTCAGTAGGGAAACAATCCTCGACGTAGGCTTTGAACTCACCTCTAAAATGTCTTGCTTTCCTTGAGCAACAGTTTCTGGCAAAGACTGCACAATGTTTTCGATAATTTCGCGATGCCCGCTTGAAAGTAGTCGGGGAAGACAGCCAACGACATCATCGTCATCGTCCTCAGTGCTTGGTGCCTGTTGTGAGTCACCGCTTTGCAAAGAGTCCTTCATGCTGAACTGTCTACAATTGAAGGTGTTAAGACCCCGGCTCAAAGACAAGCTATTCGATAAACAAACAAACAAAAATCAACAACCTAATGAGATTTTTTGTTTGATTTATAAGCGAACAAATAAACAATGAACATACAGTTGTGCAACTACATTAACGGGGATGAAAAGCAGATCCTGAACCACCTAGAAAACAGTAACGCTACCAATGGATACATACATAGTAGCTGTGTTTTCACGCAGCGCGGCTCAGAATGCAGATATGTGCTTAAAAACGCATACTATGAATGCGCATAGTAAGCCAGATGTCTATTCCAATTCCGGACTTTTATGGAGCTACCTTAGAAAAGGGAAAAACGACTAGGTCAGTCACCCTTTTGTAAAACTATCTCTATAATATCGTGGTCATAAGGGATGCTCCGGGTGTAGTTAAAGGCCGACCGAAATGTAACAACATGTCACGTATGAAGGATACATAATAAATGTCTGTCGAAGTACGATATGGACTTGAAGATTAATTAAAAACGAATAGGAAGATTGGCAGGATACTGTGGATTCACTAATGGTCGATTACCAAGTTATAAACACTAAGCTTGGACATATTATCTTTACTACGAGATTCCTTGGCATTTGAATTTTCAGTATCAAATAGTCCTTTCTTCGAGGTTTCCTCCATTTTTTGTAAAAAAACACGCAAAAAAGTATTTCTTGGAGAGATTGGGTGGGTCGCTAAATGAATTGTTTTGATTCAAACATTGGAAATAAAACAAAAAACAAACAAACAGCAAACAATAACACAAACAGGGGCACAAAAAAAGCGAAAACATCTGATGGAAATTACAAAAAAATGTGGTTGGTAAAGTTGTCCTCACGAGGTTGCATTTCTGAAATGTAAAACTTGTCCTTTAAGAAGGAGCGAGTGTTGTTAACCGGTCTTAAACAAATCGATAGCATGACTTGATTTATGGCTGGGTAAATAACTAAAAGTAAAACAGCAATCCATTCAATGGGTAATCCTTACCCATGTAATTGATTATCGATTCCTCCCCAGACTTTAACTCTACGTGATACTAGAGTTTAATGATGAAATGGTGTTTGATTAGCGTGTTCCCAGCTTGACAAGCTACCTACAAATGCTCGGTATTTACACGAACAATAACCTACGAAAAGATCTGGATAGATTCAAGAGTAAAAAGTCTCTAGTATATTTTGTACGGTTAGACTTTAATCCATCTACTGAGACCCCTTGATTGAGCTATGGCGGTTTATAAAAATGTTTACCTAAAAGTTATTACTCGTACGTAATGTATTCTACCCAACGCGGGAAACTTCTGAAAACGACCCTCCACCCTCCGAAACATGGGTAATTCGAGCAAAGACTGAATGGCTGTATTGCCATCTGTTAAAAAGTCAGCTCACATAAAATATAAACTCTCGTGAAGTTATAGTTGAGCAAGGGCGAAAAGTAGCACAATCGCATAAGGTACTTTAATACTAATTTTGGTCTCTACCAGTCACAAAACGTTTAGGTGCTTCTTGCTGTAAGGTATGGTGGGCTTTTTCTTATATAAGAACTATTGAAACCTCTAAATAAGCTGTTATTTATTTTATACGCATTAATTATTTGCCTTATTCTACAAACAAACTACTAAAGTACAATGGATTCCTGGTTGCCTTGAGTTGTAATCTTGAGGCAATTATTTCATCCTTCAAAAGTACAAATCAGATTTGTACATTCACACTAGTATCCAATAAGCAGATTTGCACCACATCATGAAGAAAACACATAAATTTCAATTTATAAAGTATAAAGATTTAAGCAATGAGGACTATGTTATACTCGGAATTGGATGAGTCACTCCTATTGACTGAATAGAATACTGGAATAAGTAGGCATCCATTAGTAAATAGTGGATACTGTTGGCATAAACAACTCTACCCAAATTTTTCGATAACTCATATATAACAGGAATGAAGAGGATGGATATTGAATTAAGTGAACAAATTACTGAAGAAAATCGTACGAAGATGAAGATGTCGATTGGAGCGCGGAAACTCGCCCAGTCCGTCCTTGTAGTATGTGAAAGCAACTTGCCACGACAGCCTTTCAAACTCGGTCATTTTAAGTCTTTGATTGATATTTTGGCTTCCATAGATCCTCTTCGATCAGTCTTATGGTGAAACTGCTAGAGGTCTAGCCACTGACAGAAATTGCGCCATTAACACTGACCCCGGTCGAAACATCGGTTGCCAGGTGATCTCCAGGATTATGCGGAGTCGCGGTGAGTTGGCTTCTTTTGGTTTACATACATGTCCTGTGGGGCTTCGAAGGCTGTCAAAACATTGTCGTACGATAGTCCTATGGGAGTGTGTACAAGCCCCATGAGGACTTCAAGTAAACAATAAGTTTGAAAGTTCAAAAATCCATATAAATAAAGCCCAACGAAGAAACCCATCAAGTAGTTTAGGAAGTCTCTCCTTCACTCATTCACCCCTTTATAGGTTTCCGATCATTGTCCTGATTTAAGACTTTAGGCTAACTCTAAACGAACTTTTGCTTTTGTTCCACATGCAAAATTCCTCGAGAAGTACTTCAGGGTGAACGGATACCGATACCGATGACTTCGAAATTCGCTGAGTTTCAAGTCGCCTAATCAGGGCTGGGTCCTTACCACAGGTCTCTTTCACTGCCTGTATGTTACAAGTGACTTTTATATGGCTTTTCTTAATCGTTTAGTGCTTTTATTTTTCTGTGACTACCAGAAATCGCGGAAAACAAATCTGTTTCGAAATCCGATGGCTTCTATACTTTACCACCTGAATAAAATGACAAAAGAGCGTAGAGCAGCAAGCCCTGACGTCAAACGCTCTTGCTTCGACGGCTGGCACCTTTTACAGTATAGCGTTGAGCGCTGAGCGCTGCAGGTCGGGTTAGCGTCACGCCGCCGCTGACGGTAACACACTTTGTGAATATGGCCAATCTATATACAAGAAAATTGGAAAAAATGATCAACACAACCGATGAACTCGACCATGGGATTATTAACCGTCTCCTCGTTCGGTACAATTGACGATCAACCTTGTCAACACAGCGATGGCGTTTAGCGCTCACGCTCAAAGCTCAACGCACTACTCTGAAATATGCTTATGGGAGAATAGCAGCAACGAGACAGACTTCCAAGGGCTTGATTGCCTTGTTTTGGCGCAAACAGCCCGAAATCTACACTATCATTTCTTTCTTCTCACTTCCTTTCCTCGAAGCCTCTTCTCGTTGGGTCGAATAGGTAACTGATTTTCATTATTGTTTGAAGGTTCTTTTGTCTTACTGTAAGACTGTTGCATCAAAAACACTTCGCGGACTGCAAAATCAATCTTTTGATTTGTATTAGGTTGTTCGGAAAGGAATGCGCGTTTGAGTTCAAAAATCTTTTTATTATATAAACGAAACTTAACCAGATCAATTTAAAAGATATTCTCCATTACTATTAATGACTTGTTGCCTACGTTCACGCAAAGTATGGATTCTTCTTCTGA